TATAGAGCTTTCGCGTGATTTCGTACACAAAGGATCACGGCAGCAACATACTACAGCATGGTGGCTTCCTTTGGAGCGGGTATAGATTTAATTTAAGTAGAAAATGGGAAGTTGGACAAAATAGCTCTTTGAAAGCACAATAATGTTTGCTGAGTGAGGAAGCGCTTCTTCCTCATTTTGTTAGCCTTGGTAGGATTGGCAAAGTAATCTGTAAGCAAAAGTAGTACTGAAGGTTGAAACCCTTAAACGAGCACTTTGTGTAACAGCAGCTCGAGGTTTATCAACCCGAAACCATTGCTGTACTCTAGGAAGGCGATCAGTGTGGGGTTGTTTTTCCTGTCGAATGATAAATGCTTAAAGTGTACAAGACTGGCTAATGCATGAACAGTGAATCTTGAACTGTGATAGGCGAATTGGAACGGATCACGAGTACATAAATAAATAAATATTTTATTCTCAACAAGGCGAGGCGCGTATTTTGGGCGTGTTCAGAACCGTGCAATGTTGCGCATGCTAGCATACTAAGCAGGATCAAGAGCAGGAACCATAGAGATATAGTCAGCAGTGTAGGCCTACAGGGCGCAAAGATTGAATGCAGCCTATCCTCACAGAGTGCAAGGTGTAAAGCTAAGTATTACAAAGAGCAGTGGTGGTATGTTATTGATGAACTTTTCCGAGGTTGTCTACACAGCGCAGGTCAGGTGAGTGAAGCATGAGGAAAATGCTGTGCAAAGGTGTTAAGCATAGAGGCATATCATATGAGCGTGGGTATATGTACACATATTGACAACTGTGGTATTGGTCAACTTGCTAATGCGTGGTTGGGGCAGTGACCTTATTCAGTGGCGAGTCACATCCGCCTCGTTGCAGTGTTGTTAAACCAACGTTCACGGCTCTTGGTGGGCTGAACACTTGCCAGCGGAAAACCCAATGGGTTCTGGAACACTGGCGACCGTGTGATAGGACATTGATAAGGTTGCATCTGACCGCTTGTTCTCGCAGTTATTTGCAGTCACGTTTCGCCAATTTGTTTCCGATGGTTGTGTGTTTGTTTTCTCCCAAATCGACGGCAGGTGTTTGGAGCTGGTGAACTTGGACAACACAGATGACTTGTATTCATTAGCTAGGCTTTTTTCAGATACCTTCGCCATGTCAGAATTGCGAAGCGGGGAAGCTTTTAATGGTCTGTGTTGATTAGGTGGCCAGGTGAGCGTCGCAGACGTGTCATTGGGTATTCCATGTAGATAGTGATCTCCAATAGAAATGCGGAAAAAGGAAAAACTAGCAAACTGTAAGAAATATGAACAGGAATATGTTAATGTACGAATAAAAGCCGTTTAGTAAGTTTGCGTCGGATAAAGAAATGATGCACCAAGACGTGTTATAAGCAGCTCTGTTATTTAGCATGAAAGTATGAGACCCAATATTTGTTGATTACGAGGCACTTGTTGCCCGAATTAGTCTAGCGTAAGCAATAGTTACGCTGAGTAGCACTCGGAAGTATCAGCCGTTGTTAGCAGGTGAATGCGTTGAGGTACTCAAAACGGCATAGAAAGTTTTGGAAGATGCGACCAGGATGTAGGTTTAACGACCAGTCCCCAGTGGGGTAGCTTGTCATTCAAACATGTAAGAGGAACAGCGAGATGTCTAGGCCTGGCTAGAGCCCCATGAGAAGAATATTGTAACAACTTCAGTGATCCGATACTAGAGAACTAGCTGGGGGCCCTGTTGGGCCGGAGTGTCGGAGTAGCTGCGATAAGAAGAGAAGGGAATTAATACTACCGCTGTACCAAGAAGGTCGTTGCGAACCCAGTCTGAAAGGGAACTGGAATAGCGGAGAAAGATAGGTAGCAGCGTCAAACGATACGAATAGTTCTACGCCAAATTGAGACTTCTACGGAGAAACCTAAACTAAAATAGACGAGTGGAAAGCGTGCTGCTGAGAACCGGATTAATTGTGAACCAGGAGCCGCTCTCTTGGGCAAGCTTTCGGACCAGTATGATTGCTTCAATTGTGTGTGTAAAGATCCACAAACAATGGGCAGTACTTACAGATTACTGTTTTACAAGAGAAATGCCACCTCTTGGTCAGCGGTCGACTGTCTAGTGTTGATGTGCGTACACGGTGTACAGGGTGGGAAATGGCATCGCCGAGCCCTTAGCACAGTCCTTTAGGACTATAGGAGCTACTCCTACCGCACGGGGTGAGTTAGGAGTATGTATCCGGCTTAGTTCCTGGTGGAAGTTACGCCGCCTATGGTGTGTAGGCTGCAGGGAAATTTGCAACGATAATGGTGGTAAGTGCAATGCTGAATCAACTGGATGACTAAAGAAGTCGCGGTTTAATTCCGTCATATGAAGAGCCGCGACGATGCTACTTCTGCCGAAACTACACAGGTTCCTCCTCGTTTTCAATAGCTCTCAGAAATTATTCATTCAAAGTACAGTTTGGACATCAAAATGGTTGAGGCGGAACATTTCATTTTTCATGTCAATCGCTAAGGACCTTGCTGAAGCGGTGTCTTTGCTTTGTAAGCCTTTTCTTTGCAACTGCGTAGTCTTGTAAGACCCTGAGTTAAAAACCTACCTGCGCTAATGAAAATGTTTACATGAGACAAGAAACATAGAAGCGAAAGTTAACTATCTCTTTAGGTGCTCACGGTACTTCGATACTTTAGTTGTAAAATATATTGCGGCAGGCAGATGCAACAGTTTCGCGTAGTATATAAACTTTTCAGGTAAAACATTCTGTTTGCGGTTACTCGCGAGCTTTGCAGCGAGTAACCTTTTGTAATACTTGTCAAAGATTAAGGAGAATAAATTTATGCAATAGTATATCCAGAAAAAGCTTTTAATTCCTTAACAAATGGTAAGCCTTGGATTGATTTTAACCTTGTTGCATACTGCACGATGGTCTCCAGTTCAAGATTGATAATCAAACTAGTGTCACAGGCAAATGCAGCTTAAGGAAAATCTACGTGTTTAATGACTGTAGTCGTACAATCGTCCCAAACGTAATGCTCCTCAGCCTTAGGGAGCCGGGAGAAACATTGAGGTTAGCTATTGGAATCGAACCATAGCCGCTCAAATACCGGGGACTGCAATGTACAAGTACACAGCTAATGCGCTGTGCGGAATGACGAAAAATAAGGTTTGTCGAAGCTTACCAGGAAAAAGTAGGTGCATAACAGTGCCAACGTCACGGTATGTGTGTGCGGTCAACGCGATACACAAAATTCGCTAAGTGCTACAGATGCATACACTACGTCTTAGTGCAGCTAGGATACTTCTAGCAAAATGACACCGTTAAGAATATTTGCAACAAGTTGTTATGCGGTTAAGTAATTCTAATTTGCGCCCAAAGGAACGTAAGTTGTCCCTGATCCAACAAGATGTACTCATGTGAGTGTATTTCCTTCGAAGAGCAGCCATAATTCCAACGCAGTGGTTTGCTGGAAATACTTCGCTTTCTTTGGATACCTCACCATTTGTTCCCTACAGACTGACCACGAAACAGTGTTATGTTCATGTTCATGTAAATGCGCAGCTTCATTGAAATATCGCAAACGTAGGTAATCCCGACGTAATTCGCGCAATGGAAAAACGATGAAGCTAAACAATGTGGCAACAAAATCTCAGCGTCTCGCGATAATCCAAAGTAGGATTTGACAACATTAAAATGTTACTGCACTAGGACGACATACATTTAACCTCTGTGGGAAACATTCGAATAAATTGCATGCGTACACTCAAACACAGCTTACATAATTCCGGTTTTAACTCAAAAGCCGGGGGCACCAAAAGGATGATATGGATAATTTACTGATGTGACGTTGAAATATTAAGCCTATCACTGCACCTAAAAGGTTGAACGCGTTGTCGTCAGCTAACGAGAATCTGTAAGCAGTAGAACGTGGTGGATGGTAAGGGATAACGGACGGACGGACGCTGAAAAAGCGTAAAGTCACGCTTTGGTGCACCAGAAACAAGCTAACAGACAGGCTACACTGCACAGACGGTCACACGCTGTCACGTTGGTTAATCCTTACCAGAACGCGACGCGAGATGAAACACAATGGTTGTATCCGTAACCGAGACCAGTATAAACAAGAAAGCGCACGTATATAACCAACCGGTTCGTTATTAATTATTCATGGGCGCACGTCATAACTCCATGAGTTCAGTGTCGTTCTGTTCGTACACATTTATAATAAAACGGAACCAGGGTAACAAGTGCGGTATATTCGAACAACTATCGCGGTGTCTATTTAGTTACAAATTTAAAAGGAAGTGCCGAAGTATACACTGTCTCCTTTTGGCTACTTTGTTTGCATCATAAACTGTATTATTTTCTTATGTAATTGCACTCCTTATTCTGCACCTTCGATTTCTCTTCCTATCCTTTGCTTCCTTCACGTGACTGCCACAGCAGGGACTGCAAGGGCAGGAAACGTGGGCATTAACTGGTTGGCCAGGGTGCGCTACGGGTGTTCCTTTTTAGATCCATCAATAACTGAGCACTTCATCAATTCCTGGCTCAACGGTCCAATCAAGATGGAACATTCACGGGATTCTCCTATCGTTCCAGTCCCATCTGAACTGAACTGAACTGAACTGTATATTGCACTGGGCTGCAATATGCTGCTTAGTATGTGCTTTGCAAGTTGTTTTACTCGTTTTGCACTATTCTTCATAGCTGTTAGCATTATTGGGAAGCATTTGCATCACACGCCGCAAAGGTGCCAAGACGCGCCCATTCGATTTGAATTTCTCCCGATTTGTGATCAACTGTTGCACAATGGCGGGTGGATTTGAATTTACGTTGCATCTTGCTCTGTAACACAGCTTAGAGATTAACTCAATTAACATATTATGCGAAAATAAAAAATAGTAAAAATAACTTTTATGGGCAAAGACATTACTGATACTTACATACATAAATTATGACCAGTAAAGAAAGTTAACATTATTGATCTTTAATTTGTGTATGTAATCGAGGCGTAAAACAATGTGCTCCTTTTATTTTTAAATTATATCCAGTAACGCAGCGCTGTATATCGACGAGAAATTCAACAAATTTAGTAAACATACTCAGGTGATATGGCACATTTGTACTGCAGGTCTTCCTCGTGACGAGCATATTTTCGTCGTGTGCTCAGGCTACTGATTTTACTACTCTGTCGGTATGTTCGAGGCGAGACTCAACCAAGCTGATACATGGAAAAAAGTGGTAGATGCCATCAAGGATTTGGTTCAAGAGGCAACTTTGGATTGCACAGAGAACGGAATTAGCTTGCAGGCCATGGACAACGCCCATGTGAGCCTTGTTTCCCTTCTTCTCCGGAGCGATGGCTTTGAAACTTACAGGTGCGACCGCAATCTTTCCCTGGGTCTGAACATCACGAGGTAAATGTTCTGTCCGTTGATCTTCTTCAGTACCTCTAAGATACTTAAATGCGCAAGTGGTAGCGATGCCGTTACTCTTAAAGCCGGCGATAAGGCAGACACCCTGACTTTCGTTTTTGAGTCGCGAAGTAGGACACGCCTTTTTCCCTATGACTTTTGCAGATCAAGAGAAGGTGTCTGATTTTGAAATAAAACTCATGGATCTTGACGTGGACCACCTCGGTATTCCCGTAAGCTTTCATACGTTCTAATTTTCCAGGATACTAATTACACGTGCGTCGTCAAAATGCCGTCGTCCGAGTTGCAACGTATATGCCGGGATTTGAGCCAAATTGGTGACTCCGTAGTCATATCTGTGGCTAAAGACTGCGTATCATTCAGCTCGACCGGTGATCTTGGGACGGGAAATATTAAGGTTTCCCAGTCTGCCAACGCTGACAAGCCTGAGGAGTCCGTTTCAATAGTAACGAGCGAAGATGTCAGTATTACTTATTCGCTGCACTATTTCAATATATTCACGAAGGCTACCCCGTTGTCTAGTCGGGTGGTTCTTTCTCTGACCGAAAATGTACCTGCAGGTGAGTCTATATCATTTAACACGTCTTTCTGAAGTTGTGGAATTCACTATCGAGGATCTCGGCTACATCCGTTACTACTTAGCTCCGAAGATTGAAGACGATGCCGACTAAATGTTGCTAAGATGCATAGGCCTGTATTGGCTGCATTTATTTTTTGTACAAGAGCTTCGAGTATTGTAATGTACATTCCTCGTAATACTCTTGCTCTTCGCTTACCGGCTGGGTTAGTCGCATGCGGTAGATATCTATGTAGTCGTTTCCTCCTTATATTGCATTTGGGTTGCCCTCAACACCACCGGATTTAGTAGGCACCGTCGACTACCTGCCCACTAAATGCTCCAATCAATTGTCCATTGCGCATCCACTTTTGACGTGTCCGCAGCGCGCCAATTATTTGTCGTTATTTCGCTAACACGTGACCTCTTAAGGTTACTCGCGGGCGGGGATTCTGTGTCGAGCTGAACCAAGGCGTAGAAGCCGGAACGTAAAGGCTTCAAGCTAACCACCTTGCATGCTGCTCTAACGAACCCGCTGTTTCGATCGGTCCGCCCCCGCTTTACACCTTACTCGGCTTGCATCGTAGGTTCATCCAACGTCTTCATTAATATGCTAAAGTGCCTTGCATTGCCATATGCGCATGAGTGGTCGTTGGGGCGACGATACAACTTCCCTCAAATTACCTAATCCTCTTGCGTTTGTTCTGAAGCCTGCGCCTGTTTTAATAATTGGGCCGGTTGCATTCTGTTACTTGTACACGCTGTGCGCCCTCGACAAATTCCGGTTTCAGCGCTACGTGACGTACCGATTAGCTTTCTCGGGTCTACCTTTCTGATATGCCTTTCTTCCCCGTTTATCTGCCCTGTTTGGTCTCGCTTTGAACTGTTTACTTCTGCTGTTTCACAAACAAATGACCATCAGCAGAGTTATGGCTTTTCGTTCATTGGATGATAGCAGAAGGAAGGTCCTTTGTCAGCTCAGTCACCTCCCGGTCGTTGCGGAGAGAATAGGTCATTGCCGAACAAGGTCCTACAGAGAACCACTGAAGCTGCATTGGAAACAGCTGGATCCCCTCTAACTAAAATGAAAATCCAACAAATGCTTGAGATGTTCCTCGGCATCGATCATAGACTCCGGAAGGCGGTTGCAGTCATTCACGTCGCGCGTGGATAAAGCCAGGCTGAATCGCACTCGGTGACTCCTCGGTTTGAAGTTTCATACTGTGGCCTTTTGTCCAACTCTCTATGTTGAGATGAAAGAATTCCTGTACTCTCTCCTCTGACAATACGTTGAGTGAAGATCAAATCTCCGCGATGACGTTAATCTAGGGAAAATGTTCAGTTGTATGAGTCGGAGAGAATAGGAAAGGTCCCGCAGCTCGGGAACAAATTTGGATCCAAGCCGTTGAACCTCAGTCATCTCACATTTGAATTTCATAAGAGGGTAGGCGGCAGGTAGCCCCTATTCGAGAAGCGGGCGTACATGTGGAGTTAACAGAAGTCGAGAGAAAGCTCTACGTATAGAGTGAAATATCCTGTAGACCGCAGCGACCTTTTTCTCGGTATCTAGATTAGATTTGTGGTCAGGGGAAATTATCACTCCCAGATCCCATTCCTGAGTGGCGTTTCGGAGCAAGGAACCACCATTATGCTAGGTTTCAAATGGGTCAAAGGCACCAATTGGAAGAACCGAACATTTCTCACTATTAATTGGCATCTGTCACTTAAATGACCAGTCACGTAACAGGTCGATTGTAACTAGTCACCATTTTCCACGCTGGATACTTTCCTCCACAGCCTCAGGTCGTCGGCGTAGATTGAGCAATCAGCCTTAGGTGGCGGAGTTGTACGCTATCGGGCGCGTTCCCAGGTTTCAGATCGGGGAATGCCTTCCTTATGGAGCTAACTGCGAATAAGTCTCGTTTGCTTTGCAGGCGAGATGAATAAGCAGTCGCGTACAATCAGCGGCAGCGTCTCAGAGTGTGGGGAGTACTGGGCTGATCACCTGGTTCTCCATTAAATACCAAAAGTGCTCGTACGGTGCTGTGTCAAAGCCACTGTGACTGGCTATAGGGTCACTGACCACTCACTTTTGTAGTTGGGGTGAGTATCTAACGGAGGGCGGATGAACAACCTCGCTGGCCACCGGCTTCTCTGTTTACTGCTTCCGAACACAAAAAAGGCGACTTAGCCATCTGGTTGTCAACGGCCTTCGTGAATCACCCCGCTGCCTTGCGGGTCAGGTCTTTAAGACCAAAAACTCGCTGTGGGGTCGCTTAAGCCAACACTCTTCCTTGGCCTGGGCAACCGGGAAGCACAATCATCAACAGCAGTACCTCAGCCATTTGAGTTGATGCTTCGCTGCCTATGAAATAAAGGATAAGAAGAGGGAGAGAAGGGGGACTTACCTGTAAACCTTAATACCCTAAACAAACATTCAGGGTCAAGGCGTCTACACCTTGTGTAGACAACATACCGTCACAAACAGCTGGCTATCGTGCAAAGGTGAGGCGACATCGGCAAGACAGCTTCCTTGCGGCTTTCACTGCCCCGCGTCATAATCAGCCATTACCCCGCAGATAACTCAGCAGCAAACACACTTTAAACAGGCAATCGGATTAGGAGACCGCAACAGGCGCGCCACTGATGTCGGTTGCGAGCCATGTCCTGTAAAGTCTCGAGCCAAGCACAAGGCGAGTCACGTGGACTCCAGCCCGGAAGGCGAGACGGATCAACGGCACCCAGTTTGGTCGTCAGTGACTTCATTTCCCGCTGCCAAGTCAACTTCTGTCTACCTCGAGCTTTGCGCCACCATACACCTGGTAGACTGAACAAGGCCATCCTAGGTAAGTAGTGCCCAGGCATACGTAGCACGTGCCCGAGCCAACGCAACTTATTCAGTGCTATCTGTTGTTATAGGGAGCTAGCATGATTATCACTACCTAGTACTCGCCTACGCACATCATCGTTGCGGACACGCTGGTGCCATCCGACACCAGCAATGCTTCGTAGACAACGATGATCAAAGACTTGAAGGCGCCTCAGATCTTCAGACCGAAGTGGCCAAGTCTCACTACCATAGAGCAGAACGGCCCTCACTGTGGCCTTGTATACACGGCCTTTCAGACGGAGGGAAACTCCCTTCTGTCGCCAAAGATGCCACAGGTTCAAGAAGGTAGCTCTGGATTTTGCAATGCGTGTGTTGACGTCTTTGTATGCGCCGGTCGTTGCTGATGCAGCTGCCAAGATAAGTGAAATGATCAACCACCTCGAGTTCCTCGTTAGCAAGCGTCAAGGGGTCATCAAGTGGCTGGTAGTCCTGCAGCAACACTTTGCACTTTGAAGGTGGGAAGTGCATACCAAATAAAGGGACCACTCTGGACAGGATATCCAGGGTTGATTGTGCCGCCCCAACGTCGTCGAAAAGCAAGACGATATCGTGCACATAATCAAGATAAACTAATCTTTCACCAGGGAGCACGTCAACGCCTACATCGTGAGATTCCGCAAGGGAACACTGCATGATAGAATCCACGATGAAATTGAACAAAATTGGGGAAATCGGACAACCCTGACGAACGCCACTTGTGGTTGGAAAACTATCCGACAGGACACCGTAGACCCTGACGCGGCCTGTAGTGTTCGAGTATAGAGCACGAAGGATGTTCACATATTTTGTGGGAACACCTTTCCGCGCAAGTATTTCGAACAGAATCGACTGAATCGAACGCACTCTTGAAATCGAGGAACACAGCTATTGTCGGTCTGCGCTGTACGTGGCGCTGCTCTAGCACCTGCCGCAAAGTGAATATACAGCCACGTCCTGGGCGGAAACCAGCCTGCTCTTCCCTAATCTGAGATTCCCGTTCCGCAGTGAGGCGACGAACGAGAACCGAGGCCAATAATTTTGTCACAACTGGCGTTAGGCTAATACCCCTGTGATTAGAAAGTCTGTGCGACTTCCCTTCTTGTATATTGCCACTATAATCGATTCGCTCCAATTAGGCGGGACGCTCTCTTCTTTCCAGACACATTCGAATAAGGAGGTCAGTGCTTTGCAGAGGACCTCACCTCCATCCTTAAATAGTACAGGTGGGAGGGAATCCGGGCCAGCGGCACGAAAACGATTGAGGGTTGTAATCGCGTTTCGGACCTCCGTTTCCGACGGAGGCTCTAAACTAACCGTCCATGGCTCGTCCTGCATCACCTGAGTAGGAAGAGGTCCGGGAGCAGGAGGCCAACTGAACTGATCTTGAAAGTGTTCCGCCCAACGAGCCATACGGCGCTCCTTATTGTGTATCAGCGCACCGGCGCTGTCTCTGATTGTCTCACTGACGCCTGGTTTTCTGGGACCAGTGGTGCGTATCAGCTGAAATACTGCCTCTGCCTCCTCCATTTCTTGAGCCCGAGTGGTCCACCAGGCTCCTTGTCAGCGCGCAAGCTCTGCTTTAGTTCACGCCTAATAGCCCGTCTGGTCACATTGTGTTCAGAGCCAGCTTGGAGGTGTCTTCTAGATTCTAACAGGTTCACCGACCTCTCGGATATCCAGTGACTGGTGCGGTGACGATGGATAGTGCCACAAGCAGATGCTCCTGCGTCATGCATGGCGGCCGAGATCCTATTCCACTGAAGCTCAGCGTCATTAGGACAAGACTGTGGAAGTTCAGTATGCAGTGCGTCTTGATAGGCTTGCCTGACCGAGGACAGACAATTTCTCAGTTGCCAATCGTAGGGGACGCTTGGTGCGCCTCCCGGTAATGTTCATGGAGAAACGGCAACGTACCAAGGCATGATCAGAGACGACGCAGGTATTCCAGAACGAGCGGCAATCTAGGATGGAACCACGCCACCTGTAACTTATGGCTGTGTGGTCAATTCGGGTCCATCGCTGACCAGCTACAGGAGGACGCCAAATGGCACTTCGGCACCCACTGTGTCTAAAAGCAGTGCTACTAAGAAACAACTGGTGCTACACACACAGTTGCAGCAGACGCTGGCCGTTGTCAGTCCGTTCGGAGTTAAGTCCACAGTTACCACCCAACTGAGCTTCTGAAGAGCTCAGACGCCCTACTTGTGCGTTCATATCCCTTGCAAGTACTATAATACCTGAACTAGTAGCACTGCGTAGTCGCGCATTCAGTTTGTGATAGAATGTGTCCTTGAGAACATCTGAACTGCAGTCAGTGGGAGCATACGCGGAAA